GCTTTCACTCCTCTCAAACAGTCTCTCTCAAGGTTACCAGCAATCGCCACATTGCTAAGTCCAGTATTAATTTGCAGTTGATCTCTCCTTTCCTTTCTGAAATCTTCTCTTAATCTGCCTTCCATTTTGCTCCTGTGTTCACTTTCTGCCTCCATGACTGGTCCTTAGTTGCTTCTACTGGTTCTTTTTCTTTTTAAAGATTTTACTTTTCCTTCTTCTCCCCAAAGCCCCCCAGTACATAGTTGTATATTCTAGTTTTGGGTCCCTCTAGTTGTGCTATGTGGGACGCTGCCTCAGCATGGCTTGAAGAGCGGTGCCAGGTCCATGCCCAGGATCCGAACCAGGGCAGCCTTGGGCCGCTGAAGCAGAGTGTGCAAATTTAACCACTCAGCCACGGAGCTGGCTCCAATTGGTTCTTTTTCATCTTCCCAGTCTCTAAATGTTGCACTGTCTCAGGTCTTACATCTTCAGATGGCTTTTCTTTTCCATCTACATTCTTTCCAATCTCATGGCTTTAAATGCTCTACGCACATTGAATATTAAATCCCAAATGGTTATCTTCAGCTGGCACCTCTCCCCTGCACTCCACAATCATCTAACCTACAATCTGAACCTGCTCCTCTCACAATCTATCCCATCTCAGCAAATGCCAACTCCATTCTTCTAGCTGCTCAAGTCAAAAAGCCTTGTTATCCTAGATTCTTCCTTCTCTAACCCTATAAATCCAATGTATCAACATCTTGTTGGCTCTACTTTTTTTTTTAAAGATTTTATTTTTTTCCTTTTTCTCCCCAAAGCCCCCCCAGGACACAGTTGTATATTTTTCGTTGTGGGTCCTTCTAGCTGTGGCATGTGGGACGCCGCCTCAGCGTGGTTTAATGAGCAGTGCCATGTCCGCACCCAGGATTCAAACCAACAAAACACTGGGCCACCTGCAGCGGAGCGCGCGAACTTAACCACTCGGCCACGGGGCCAGGCCCCTCTACTTTCAAAATATATTCAGGATATATTTTGTGATCACCCCCACTGGTATGATCCCAGTCAAGCTACCTGGTATCATTGTATCAGCCTCTTAATTAGCCCTCTGCTTCTTCCCTTGCTCCTTATAGTCTCTGCTCAACTCAGCAGACAGTGACACTTTTAAAACATCAGACTATATCTCTCGTGTGCTTAACACCCAAAGGCTTTCGAACTCACTCACACTGGAGCTCAAGTTGTCACCATGACCTATCGGGCTCTAGATAAGAGCTTCTCCAACGTAAGAGTGCATCCCAATTACCTGGAGACCTTCTTAAAATACGGATTTTCTGATTCAGTAGTTCTGGGGTGGGTCTTCATCCTGCACTTCTAATACACTTCTAAATCATGATAATACTGTGGGTCTGAAGACCACATTTTCAGGGACAAGATTCTAGAATAATTTGCACCACTTCCCACTTGACCTCTTTTTTCCCTAGCTTACTCCACTCCAACCATATCGGCATTTTCCCATCTCAGGCCTTAGCACTGTCTCTCCTGTCTGCTTGGAACGCCCTTCCTTGAGAATCTGCATAGTCCTCACTTTTAAGGTCTCTGTTCAAATGTCTCCTATCAGCAAGCCTTCTCTGATCATCCAACATAAAATGCCAGTCCCTACCCTGGCACACTGTATCTTCTTTATCTTGCTTTATTTTTCTCCTTGGCACTTACAACCATCTGACATACTCCATATTTATTTATTACTTGATGAGAGCCCCCATATTTATTTATTACTTGGTGAGAGCCTTGAGAGAAAGAACTTTGTCATCTTGTCTGTTTTGGTTACTCTTGTATCTCCAGTGCCTGGAACACTGCCTGGCACATAGCATATCATCAGTAAATACCTGTTACACAAACTAAATGATTGTATCTTGTATATTTACAGTAGAATTTCTATTTAGGGTTCTAAACACCAAAAGCAATGCAACTGTTATAAAAAGAATGCTTAAAGACAGTGATCATCCATTTTAAAAAATAATGCATTATAATAACTGAAAACAGTTTGCTATAGTGTACAGCATGTGCAATTGGTGATACACATATCCACGCAATATGGAGAGAACAGTGTATCTGTGGACACTGTTGGCTGACCACCCATCAGTGGACCTCCACACTCTGCCTTGTTTCTTGCTTACCAAATGCTGTTATGTCCAGGTTTGGGGAGGCTCCTAGGTAATAATCTCCATCAATTTAGCCAATCTGGGTAATTCCATTTCCCTTACCAGTAATTAGTTAGGGCAATAGGCAATGGTCCAATTCTGGTTGGGAGGCTTCTGGTAAAGTTTTAAAAAAAGGAAAGAAGAAAAAGAACAACAGAAAATCCCCTTTTCTACCTCTGGACATGAGAGCAAAGAGCTGCCACTTGGCAACCATGATGGGGAAGCCAAGAGGAGACAAGCTGGAGTCACATTATCAAGCTGCTGCATTAACTAACCCTTCTTGTAGTAGGAGATAATAAATGAAGTAGGTTATTATCCCTACCTTTACAGATGAGGAAACCGAGATATACAGAATAAGTGACTTGTCCAAGGTCAGAGAGGTAGAGCCAGGATTCAAATTCAGGCAGCCTGGCTCCAGACTCTTAACCTTTATGTACCTCTCCAAAGCAATCTAACTGACACAAGACCATTTCCAATAAGTACAGTGACATTATGGGGTCTTGATGATAATGCATAAATTAATTGTTCTTGGTCATCTATAGGTTTCAATGGGTAATTGCACTGTACATATACTGTAGTGTTGCAGCTGTGCATACATATTACGGATTTTTTCCCATTATTGAACACTCTTGGAAACAAGAGATCTAGACTCAAAAAGTGTTCAGGTCAGGTCAGGTCCCAGACATTCTGAGAAAGCTGTCTCCTCCTATAATTCTTAAATCCACTAGGACTTTATTTTGGCATATGGTAAGAGGTAAACATCTAAAACAATTTTTTCCCCCCAAAGTAACCATACACACCAAGACTGTTTACTGAAGAAGTGAGAGAAGGTAGTCAATGAGTGTACTCTTCCTGTATGCCACGTACCCCATGCAATGCTAGGGAGAAAACAGCAGGGAATAGGAAAGACGTGTTCCTTGCCCTCGTGGAGCTTCGTGGTGTAGTGGGGCAGACAGATGACGTAATTACATGTGGGATGGTTGTTTTGAAGTGCTAGGCACAGCAGCAGCTACGGAGTCTTACCTCTAAGCTGCAAGGGAAGATTTCTGATGGACAGTACCTCTTGAACAACATACTGATTCACCCCTCCACTTTTCAACAATTCCTCTGGGGCTAAGGGCAGATGGAACTCAAACAGCTGGGGAGACATCCTTCTCCCACTGGCTCACAGGGCTGGAAACAAACAGCAAACAGGTCAGGGTCTGTATTTAAGGCCTGTCTTTTTATCTGTTCCTATTATTTCACCCCCTCTTCCAATGTATAATGCTTCTTTAGTCTTACATCCAGCTGATAACATTATTGTAGAGGATGGGAGATCAACCCTGAACTAGAATCTAATTCTGGCTGTGACTCGGCCATTGGTCATGTCACTTAACCTCTGGGGCCTCATCTGTAAAATGCGGTGACTAGTCCCTGACTACTTTACAAAGCGGCTCTGAGGATCAAATGAGTCAAGGGGTATGAAAGCGTTTAAATAACTGTAAAGTGGCACATCAATGCGTTAAACTAGCATTAGTATTTCCGTTTTTATGGGCAAAACTTCTTACGTACAGAATGTCTCACCTGAGGCCAGAACAGTGGCCCAGCATGGGCTAGTGGGTTTCCTGGCTCCAGATAAGAGGGCATTCACATTTATTGCTTGTTTACTCTGCACTGGATTCGGTTAGGCTATTTGACTCTATCATATCTGATCAAATTCTCCAAATCCCAATCTCATGGGGTGCGTAATAATGCAACCCAATCTACAGATGAGGAAATCGAGCTAAGAGAGGTTAAGCGATCTGCCCAAATTCCGCTGCAGATGTCAGACTGTTTCCACCAGATCGCACCCCAGGGATCCACCCAGCAGCCCTCCCGCCTCTCGAGCGCTGTCCAGGGCCGTCAGCTGCCCCGTCCCCGATTTCCCCAGCCTTTCACTCCCCGCTCCCCACGAACACCACACCTTACCGGAGAGCTCCCCCGCCGTTCCTCCGACTCGGCTCGTGGGGCTGAAGTAAAGGAAAAAACACGGAGTGCACAACATCCACCAATCAGCTAGGCAGCACTCAAGCAGGCAGAGAAACCGGCCAATCCCCAGCAGCCAGAGGCAAAAGCCCGCCTCTAGGCCGGGCGCCGCGCGGGCAGAGCCGCCAACGTGGAGTTCAAATCTCAACGGCCGCAAGGGGGCCAATCGCGACGCTCGCCGCAGACACCGGCCAATCACAGCGCAGGAGCGGGAAAACCCGGTGGCGCCTCCGGGGGGGCGGGGCCTAGGCTCGGCTCCGGCCCCGCCCCCCGACCTGCGGCTGCCTCCTGCCTCCCGGTCACGCTTTGCCCCGGGTGCTGGGGAGGACGCCCGGGCAGTGCCTGCCAGAGACGCCGCGTATCTAGCTGGGCGGTGGTAGTGCCCCTGGGATGGTGACCCACTCAGTCACCCCCGGGACAGGCGGCGTGTCCAGGCCGGGAGTTAGAAGGCTTAGGCTCTAATCCAGGGTCCGCCATCTCGTCTGCTGTGTGATGTCCAGCACGTCACTTCACTCTCTGTGCCTCAGATTTCCTCCCCTGTAGAACAGGGCAAATACCAGCTACAGCGCAAAGCTGCTGTGAGGCACAGAGACAGAAGGTCTTGGGTCCAGGTTCTGGAGTCTCATCTCCCTCACAGTTGAGGGACGTCCAAAGAAACAAGAAAGGGTGAATTCTCTTGAAATTTAGTTTTGAGGTGCCCGAAACGACGACGATACGACCCCTCAGCAAGTCTGGCGCTCCAGAACTTCCGGCGGGCAGACCGGAAGCGCCTAGGTGGGCGGGGGTGGGTGGGTGTGTCAAGGCCTCCGGAACACAGGGGGCGGGGCTTGAGGCTGGGGTGGGCGGGGCCTGCGCCCGGAGCTCCCTGGGTAAGGCCCAAGATGGCTGCCTCCGCGTAGTACGCGTGTGAGGCTGGCCAGGACCGTCCCTGTCGTCTCCTAGAAAGCTACACCTGGCTCTCACTCTTCTGCTCGTGCGGCGTGCAGTTGTAAGGGAGAGACGAGAGCCATGGCAGGGAGCCTCTCTTGGGTGGCTGGCAGGGGCCTAGGGGGCTGGGTGCCCCTGGCCTGTAGAAGCTTCTTTCTGGGTAAGTGGCTGACGTAGAAAAACGTCCCGAGAACTGCTTCTCAGTAAGCGGCGCAGATTCATTCCTTTTCTTCCCCATCCCTAGGTGTTCCTGGATTGTTCCATGTAAGGGTCACCCTCCCGCCCCCCAAAGTGGTTGATCGTTGGAACGAGAAGAGGGCCATGTTCGGGGTGTATGACAACATCGGGATCCTGGGTAAGACTCGACTCCATGGTACAGGAGTTCAGAATGGCAGTTATGCCGTAACGACTATCTTTTTTTCACCTGTGTGGGAATAGTACCTTCCTCAGTCGTAAGGGCTAACTCTGTGTGGCTGTTTACGTTGTGTTCCGGACTGTTCTGAGTGCCCCACATATATTGACTCATTTAATCCTCATAATAACGTTTTCACTTTACAGGTGAGGAAACTGAGGACAGAGAGGTTAAGTAATTTTTCCAAAGCTAGGAAATGGCAGTGACAGAATTTGAACCCCAGGTAGTCTGGTTCCAGAGTGTGTGCTTTTGATATTGTGGTGTAATGTGTCTTTTCTATAGGTGCTGCTCAGGAAGATGCAACTGTGTGTTGAAGGCTTAGCTGGTGGAGGCTGGGTTCTCTCGTCTTAAAACTAATATGTTCTCTCACATTACACAGGAAACTTTGAAAAGCACCCCAAAGAACTGATCAGGGGCCCCAGATGGCTTCGAGGCTGGAAGGGGAATGAATTGCAGCGTTGTATCCGAAAGAAGAAGATGGTTGGAAATCGGATGTTCATTGATGACCTGCACAACCTTAACAAACGCATCAGCTACCTCTACAAACACTTTAACCGACATGGAAAGTATCGCTAGAAGAGAAAGCTGGCAACTGTGGAAGAGGCACATCAATCCCCCAGGAGAGGGGGGACAGTACTTTACTTTATGAAGAAAGGGATTTGTAGACTCTGTAATAAAATGGGGCTCCTTTGGAATCTGCTGTCCACACACTTTATTTTCCTCCAGATGCTGCTTTTACTTGTTACATAGACTATGCATTCTGACCCATCCCTAAGTCTTAGAGTCTTAGGTTTGGACTTCACCACTTGCCCTTTGCAGTCTAGCCATACCTGTGGTCTTTAAAAAAGAAAGGTTGTTGTTGGCATTTTTTGTGGTAGTTTTTAATTGCCCCATAGTGCTGTTATGTTAATGTGCTTTTAAAAACCTTTCCACACTGGGATGAAATGTAATAGAAAGTGGAATTGTACTTCTATACTATTCTCATAAAAAACTATTTATTGGATACCTCTTCTGAGCTGAGAACTGTAGGAGAAACAAGAAAGCATAATGTATCCTCCCCATCTCCCCATGTGCTTTTCTAGTTAGGGGTATCAAGTTATATTCTCACATGTGCTTTAATATAAGGCATTAAGTACTATGTGAGTGGTTCACGTCGGTGGTTCCCAAACCTGACTGGTCGTCAGAATCATCTAGGGGGTTTAACAGTTTCACTGGCCTGGGCCCTGCCCCCAAAGATGTCTAATCTGTAGAGCTGAGCTGAGTCTTATGCATCTATGCGTGCTTTTTAAAATAATTATAAAAAACCTATCTATACATACAATAGAAAATTTAAAAATTACTAAAGAGTAATCAGATGACAAGTTTTCTCATGGCGTGTTTGAGTTTCTCAGAGGTAACCACTCTTACAAGATTCTTTTTAATCCTTCTGGATGTACACTGGGCATATAAAGTTTATGTTGTCTATCTGTCAATCTACTTTAAAAATGATTCCATGCACACTGTTCTGTACCTTTCTTTTTTGCTTAATATAAGTTGGATGTTGTTTCATATCCTCACACTAGGTACCATAATGATTTAGCCAGTTCCCTTTTGATAGATGTTTAGATTGTTTCCAGGCTTTTGCCTTTTCAAAGTATGATTCCTTTAATTTTAGGTCATTCTAATGTTAAAAGCCCTCAGGTGATTTCACCCATGTGCGGAAACCACTCATGTGGACGATAAGTGACCTAGATGAGCGAGTGTATTTGGCCTAATTGGGAGAGGCTTCATCGAAGAGGCTGGATTTCAGTAAGCAGAGAGAATAGAGCATTTCCAGTGGGAAGGCAAGAGTGAGTGTCGGTGTGTGGTGAGAGAACGTAGGTGTGTGGGGAGATGGCGAGGCACATCTAGCTGTGATGAAGCATCGTATGACACTATCTGCTTTTCTTTCTTTTAGAAATGTACTTGGCTGTGAATCAAATGTTTAACATTACTCAATTGAGAGGAGAAAAGTGTTGCTACAATTTCTAGAATCGTGTATTGATTAGGGTTAAATTTAAAACTCCAGTGCCTAAAGTCAGCTTTCAGTAAATATTTGCGGACTCGAATAAGGAAAGTATTTGATATGCTGCTTTTAAAGAAGTCTTTTATGTGGATTGAAAGTGCGATTTGTGTTCCTTTGGAGGCTTTTTTAGGTTGATATTGTTAAGTCTCTGGTATTAGACTTGATTAAGAACATGGCTATTGGAATCAGACAAGTGGGTTTAAACTCAAACCTACCACTCTATTTATGTGACCCTAGGCCAAGTAGTTAACTTCTATGAGCCTTAGTTTTTTAAACCTGTCAAGTAGGAATACAATACTTTTCTCAGGGTTGTGTGAGGAATAAATGAAATTATACACATAAAATATTTAGTGCAGAGTTTGGCAAGTGTAAATGGTAATGACACTCCTCTGGAGTGTGTGTAGTTGTCAAGAATTAGAAAAACCTGAAGAAATGAATGGAAATAGGTTTTAAAAATGATTTTAACTTTTTGTTTATAAAAGTAGTATTGCAAACTAAAGAAAATGAGTTACTTATAGATACAAGTTGGGATTTGAAGGTAGAGGAGTTAGGGTGATTAGGTCTCTTATTTGATCCAAATTCTTTAAAATAAGTACCTATTTCAATTATCTGTTTTTACGTAACAATCCCCCCGAAAACTTAATGACCGAAAGCGATAGTTTATTAATTCTTATTGTCTGGGTTATCTGGACTTGGCAGGGCAATTCTTTTACTCCATTAGGTGTGGGCTGGGGTTGGTTGTTGTTGCATTCAGCTGGGAGCTTGGCTGGAGCTAGAATGTCCAAGATGTCTTCACTCACATGTCTAGTGCCTCACTTGAAGTGTCTGAAATTCCTTTTTCATGTGGTCTCATTATTCAGTGGTCTAGCCCAAACTTCTTCACACAGAGGCTTTATCCCAAAGGGCAAAATGGAAGTTGCAAGGCTTGATAGACATAAGCCAAGAAATCACATCGTGTCACTTGTGCTGCATTCTATTGATCAAAGTAAGTCACAGGCCAGCCCAGCTTTGAAGGCTATGAGGAAATGCACTCTGTTTTTGGATCAGAGAATCAGCCTGTAATTACAGGGTTGTGAGAAAGCATTGACAACCATATCTGCAAACAATGTACCTCAGTAACATTTCATGTCTTTTTTGGGACTTTATCTTCTGGAAGTCTCAATAGAAGTGAAACCAGGGGGCTGGCCCCGGGGCTGAGTGGTTAAGATAGTGCGCTCCACTTTGGCGGCCCAGGGTTTCGCCAGTTCGGATCCTGGCGCAGACATGGCACTGCTCATCAGGTCATGTTGAGGCGGCGTCCCATATAGCACAAGCAGAGGCACTCTCAACTAGAATATACAACTGTACCAGGGGTCTTTGGGGAGAAGAAGAAGTAGAAAATAAAAAGATTGGCAACAAGATGGTAGCACAGGTGCCATTTTTTTTTTTAAAAAAAAGTGAAACCAGATTAATAAGTACTTGTTAAATTAAGTGAAAAGTAGGGGCCAGCCCCATGGTCTAGTGGTTAAGTTTGGTGTGCTCTGCTTTGGCGGCCTGGGTTGGTGGACCTGGTTCCTGGGTGTGGACCTAGACCATTCCTTGGCAGCCATGCTGTGGCCACCAAGAACACAAAATAGAGGAAGATTGGCACAGATGTTAGCTCAGGAACAATCTTCCTCAGCAAAAAACCTTGAAAAAGTTAAGTGAAAAGTAGGTTTTGGAGAAATGAGTGATGGTGTGAAATAAATAGGAGAAACCTCCACTAAATTGGAGTGGAGAAGGCCTGTAGGGTGAGCTCTCATACCCTATCATACATGTCCTAGTTGTACGTCCTTCTAGTTCTTCTACATGGGGTTCTGCCACAGCATGGCTTGATGGGCAGTGTGTAGGTCCGCCCAGCATCCAAACCAAACTTAACCACTGCCGCTAGGCTGGGCACTGCTTGCGTCTCTGACGGAAAGTAGAACTAATTTACTACTGAAGGAAGATGTCTCTCCCCTTCAGGCAACAGCCCAGCCAATGAGAAATGCCACAGCTCAGCCAATGAGAAATCATTGCCACCCTGAACTGTTACTTTCTCCCAATGGACATTTCTTTAAAACAGCCTCTCCCTGCTCCTTTTTCTCCATAAAAGCAAACTCCCATCCTTTGTTCTCTGGATTTGTCTATAGTTCACCATGGCATGCAGATCCTGAATTGCAATTCTTTTAGCTAATCCCGAGTAAACTCATTTTGAAAGTAAAATAATGGGCGAATTTGCTTTTTAAGCTAACAATGGGTATATACGTGAACTTATATTATGATCCTGGGTCTTATGGAAATGTATGTATGAGAATGTCAGGTCTTCTGATATGGGAGTGAGTTTTCAAAGGGATTTCTGGAGAGGAGCTGGGTGTAAGAATGGAGAGGTTGGTGTGAAATATGAGTGGTTCAAGGATACTTTACACGATTTGGTGGAGCCGGAGAGGAGAAAATCACATATTTGAGACTCTGCTAAGTGCAAGGGGCTCTGAAGAATATAGGTACGTATTTTTAGTAGAATACGTAATTATTGGCAAGGAGGAAATTGACAAATTCAACAGACATTTATAGAACACTTCCTACTGTGAAGACACAAAATGTCTTGTTTTCAAGGACAGAACAATCTTGTTTTCTGTGTGAAACTATGTAACATTTTCATTCAATAAACAATGAACCATTATGAGCAAGGTTATTTGGAGAGACATAAGCCACTAAGTCAGGGTTGGTTCCTAACTCTTAATAGCTTTCATTCTACTTAAGAGATATGTATGTCTGCAGAAAATGAATTTGCATATGATAATTGCATAGGAAAATTAGAACATTCTGTGAGAGTTCTTTTCCGGCTAGGGGAGGTCAGAAAAAGTATTTGCTGAAGAGATGACATTTGGACTAAGTCTTGGAAAATTTCAGCTGATGGAAATGGGAAATCAATGTTAAGTATGGACAATAATACTTACGGGGAGAAGCTTTGAAGAATAGGAAAGAATTCCAGTGGGTGAGGGGAATGAGGAGAGAAGGACAGCCTTCTCATGGAGAGATAGACATGGGAACAAAGGTGGAAATTACTGACACAGGTCCATAAAACTAAGTTAATGATCGTTAACACACAGGTAGGCTTTCTCTAATAGTAGGAAATAAGTTTCGATAGGAAATCTAGGAGTCTAGGACAGGAATAACTAGGAGTCTTGAATGCAACCATGATGAACAGCTTAGATTTCCCCCCCACCCTCGTAGACCGGAGCTATTTGATCCTGGCTACATGTTAGAATTCTTCTCAGAGTAAAACAAAACAAAACAAAACAAAAAACTAAGACCAATGAAATCAACCTGGGGTCCCAAGCATTCATGTTTTTAAACATGTTCCAAAAGATTCTAAATCAGGGTTGAGTACCACTGCTTTGGAGAATGGAAAAAGGAAAGGGAATGACTCTTAAGGTCACTTTACTTGGGTTTGTCTGAGCCTCTGAACTCATATTTTTGCTTTGATTTTACTTGTCTCTGTGTCTGTCTTCCCTATTAGGTTGGCCTCATCCCTGTTGAGGGCAGGGACTGTCTTGCACATATTTGCTTACTGTAGTAGTCTAATATCTGGTCTCTGTATACTGGCTCTTAATAGGCCCTCGATAAATATGTGTAGAAGGCCTTCATTCAACAGCCGTTTATTGAAGGCCACCAGTAGGTGCTAGGGATACAAAGAAAAAAAAGATACAACTCCTGCATTTAAAGAATTCTATCTAGCACAGGAGGCAAAGAAACCTAGTTATAAAATTCATTATATCACAACATTTAAAGCTTGTTAATACCTATGTACATAAATATAGAGAATACGGACACTTATACTGCAGGAGTTGGGGTAGGGAAGGCTTTCTGGAGGAGGGCGTTTCTGAGTTGGCTTCACAGAGTGCAGGCTAGCAGTTTTCCAGGCACATGAAACAGAAACAAAGGTCCAGAGAAGAGAGAGAGCATGGCGTGTATGAGAACGCTATGAATGATGTTTATTGGTGGAGCTCATGTGTATACAAAGATAGGGCAGGAGGTGGAGGCAAGAGTTGCATCGTTAGGAAGACTCTAAAGAACTATTAAGACTTAGCCTTTAGTAAAACGGTGCAGCCACTTTGGAAAACTATTTGGCAGTTCCATAGAAAGTTAAATAAAGAGTTACAATAAGACCCAGCAATTCTACTCCTAGATATATACCCAAGAGAATTGAAAACATGTTCACACAAAATTTGTACACGAATTTTGATAGCAGCGTTATTCATAATAGCCAAAAAGGAGAAACAACCCAAATGTCCGTCAACTGATGAATGGATAAACAATATGTGGTATATCCATAGAATGGAATGTTATTCAGCTGTAAGAAAGAATGAGGTACTGACACATAATAAAGCATGGATGAACCTTGAAAACGTTATGGTAAATCAAACAAAGCAGTCATAAAAGGCTACATATT